GGGCCCGCCGCCGGCAGGGTTGGGGCACAGCGGGGTGCCCTGCTCGGCCAGGCCCTCCACGTGGTGGACGTCGAAGGGGATGTGCACGCCCTCCTGAGTGATGAGCCCGCTGCTGCCTGCCGGGCTGGCGGGGGGCACTGGTGCTGCTGCCACCGGGGCCTTGACGGGCTGGCCCTCAGGGGGGTCCTCGGAGTCGGAGCCGGAGCCGGAGCTGGCTGAGTCGGAGCTGCCGGCCACCAGGCCATTGCCCACTGTGACGACAGAAGAAAGGCAGGGTTACGAAGCAGCAGCTGCACTGGCCGGCAGGTGACGTGGTGGTGAAGGTGCTGGATCTCACCTGGCCAGCGCAGGTTCGAGTCCCAGACCTGGCGGCTTGCTTTCTCACTTTCCCTCTCCCTCTCCCTCTCCCTCTCTCTCTCTCTCTCTCTCTCTCTGTGTGTGTGTGTGTGTGTGTGTCTCCTTCTGGTAAGCACACGTGCCCTATGGAGAATTAAAAATAAATAAGGACCCTCTAGGTGACATGGTGGTTAAGGATGCTGGATTCCCACATGGCCGACCTTGGTTTGAGTCCCAGACCTGGCGGCTTGCTTTCTCACTTTCTCTCTAGATCTCTCTCTCACTCTTTTCCTCTCTGGTCAAATTAGAATAAATAATATTAAATAAAATAATTATTTAAAAATACATAAATACATAAAATTTATAAGTAAGTCTTAAAAAAATGGAGGGACCAGCAGTTAGCGTAATGGCTATGTCACTGGACTCCTACGTAGTCGACCGCGGTTTGTGTCCCGGACCCGGTGGCTTAAAACTCACGCCGGGCGCGTGTGCGTGCGTGCCCAAGATCCTGAGAGGAGAATGGAGGAGAAGGGACTGCGGCGTGGCCATCCCCCTGGGGCTTGATTTCTCGCTTTCTGTCTCTGTGTCTGTCTGGTGAACGCATGCGCCCTATAGCAAAAAAAACCTCTCCAAAAAAAAAAAAAGGAAAAGAAAAACATACCAGGTATACGTGTGTGCATACCCAAGGGCCTGAGAGGAGAATGGAGGGGAGGGTCGGTGATGTGGCCACCCCTCCTGGGGATGCTCTCTCACTTTCCCTCTCTCTCTGTCTCTGTCTCTTCCCAGCAAGTGCACAGGCCCTATGGCAAAATCTAAAAAACCCCACTCAAACAAAAATAATAGCTACAGTGGCAGCAGCTGGCATCTGAAGGCACTGTAACCCTCTTGATGCCAAAAACAGTGGCCTCGTCCCACTCGTCACCACCCGTGGCCACGCCGGGGCCCCGACTCAGCTCACCCCACCCCCACAACTCAGGGACAACCTCTGGCTTCCTGGATCCCCTCCCGGGCTTCCTTCCCACTTCTTGGTTTTTTGCAGGCCTGGCTCAGCTGGGGGCCTCTCCCCAGGGCTCACCTCACCCCTAGGGTCTCGTCCAGGACGGTGGTATTAAATGCACCCCCATTCTCTGACTGTCAATACCGTGTCCAATAGTTCAGTTCCATTCTGACACTTGCTACCTGGAGGTGGTGTCACATGCCACAAGGTCAGGGCAAGACTGTCCCCCACCGCGGATGCCAGCTGCAAGTTCCGCTTCTCAGAGGTCTGACTGCCGGCTTATAAACCAGAGGTTGCCCGACCTCTCCCTCAGGTTTGATAATAATCATTTGCTAGAACGACTCACAGAACTCAGGATAGCGCTCCAGGGCCAGCAGGTGGCATGGAGGTTACGGCATCTGGATCCCACATGGTTCAAGTCCCAGACCGGGCAGCTTGAAAATCACACCAAGCGGGGTCAGAGGGTAGTGTGGTGGACAAGGGCGCTGGACTCCCCCATGGCCAACCATGACCACTGTTCGAGTCCTGGACCTGGAGGCTTGCCTTCTCACTTTCCCTCTCTCTCACTCTGTTCTTCTCTGGTCAAATTAAAATAAATAAATAAATAAAGTTAAATAAAATCATTTTAAAAACAACACACACACACAAACACACCAAACACATGTGTATGCGTGCCCAAAATCCCGCGTGGAGAATGGAGGAGAAGGGATTGCGGCACAGCCGTTCCCCTGGGGGGTGATATCCGTCTTTCTGTCTTTCTCCAGCGAGTGTACATGTCATGGCAAAACCAGAAAAGGGCTCCATTGACAAGAGTAGTTTTATTTACTTATTTATTTATTTTTGGAGAGGATTTTGCTATAGGGCGCGTGCGCTATAGGGCGCGTGCGCTCGCCAGAGAGACAGAAAGCGACAAAGAGACGGAAAGCAAGAAATCCCCCCAGTGGGGATGGCCACACCGCAGTCCCTTCTCCTCCATTCTCCTCTTGGGATCCTGGGCGAGCACACACGCACATACACCCGTGTGAGTTTAAGCCACCGGATCCGGGTCGCGAACCGCGGTCAACTACGTGGGAGTCCAGCAACATAGCCATTACACCAACTGCTGGTCCCTATTTAACTTTATTTATTTAACCTTATTCATTTATTTAAATTTGATCAGATTGGGACAGAGTGAGAGAGAGAAGGAGTGGGAAAGAGAGAGCAAGCTGCCAGGTCTGGGACTTGAACTGTTGTCAGCCATGTGGGAGTCCAGTGCCCTTAACCACCACGCAACCTGCTAGCCCTGTACTGCGGTTCAAGTCCTGAACCCGGTGGCATAAACTCACACTGGGCATGTGTGCATGCGTGCCCAAGATCCCGAGAGGAGAATGGAGGAGAAGGGATTGCTGCATGGCCATCCCACCGGGGCGGTATTTCTAGCTTTTTGTCTCTCTGTCTCTCCAAAGAGCGCCCCCAGCCAATAGCAAATATCCCTCTTAAAAAGAAAGGAAGGAAGAAAGGAAGGAGGAAGAAAGGAAAGAAGGAAGGAAATACCCACACACTCCAGGTGCCCAGAGCCCTGGCAGGAGGCTCTGCTGGCTGGGAGGTGACAGGGACGCCCCAGGCACAGAGCAGGGAAGAGGTGCTGCTGCGGGGACAGGGCTCACCACGGCCTTCACCACCCGCACACCCCGCAAGCCTGTTCCCTGGACCCCAGATCTGATAGTCAAAGTTGGGTCTCAGGGGCTGGCAGGTGGGGTGGTGGTGAAGGGCACTGGACTCCCCTGTGGCCGACCACGGTTTGAGGCCCAGACGTGTCCTTTCTCTTTCTCTCTCTCACTTTGTCCCTCTCTAGTCAAAATAAAATAAATAAATAAAGTTCAAGAAAATAATTCTGAAAAAAAGAAACAAAGAAACAAAGGGGTCACAAAGTGAGGGGGCATCTGCCCTGCACCATCCCCCAGCCTGTTCTTGATTTCTCTGGGCTAAAGACAGGGCTGTGGAGAGCAGGACGGGGTGGGGGCACAGCATGTGCGGGCCGGGGTGCGGGCTGCGGAGCACAGGCCCATGGCTGCAGAGCATGTGGGGACGGGGTGCGGGCTGCGGAGCACAGGCCCGTGGCTGCAGAGCATGTGGGGCCGGGGGGCGGGGTGCGGGGGACCGGG